AGGAGGAGGGAGGAGGGAGGAGGGAAGGAGGAGGAAGGAGGACGATGGAGGGAGGAGGGAGGAGGAGGAGGGCAGGAGCAGGGAGTCCAGCAGGCCTGACTCACCGGCACGCGGCGCACACGAAGCAGTCGGGGTGGTAGGTCTTGCCCAGCGCCGACACCACCTCGCCCTCGATGAACTGGTCGCAGCTGAAGCAGCGGGTCCCGTACAGCCGCTGGTAGTCCTGCGTGCAGATGTACTCGCCCTGCCGCACGAAGAAGCCGCCCTCGGCCAGGTCACAGCCGCATGCTGGGGGGGTGGGGGAGCGTCAGCGTCAGCGGGGTGCCGACCGTCTGCCCGGTCCCCCCACGCACAGCTCCCCCTTGACATAGGTCCCGTTGACTCGCCGAACCCCTGGTGGGGCCGGGCTCCAGGAACAGACCTCCAGCTCTGGCCCTCAGCCTGGTGCTGGGTGGACTTTCTTGGGGAAGCTTCCAGAAGCGTAGCACCAACCCAGGACGAGAATGAGGCTATGCAAAGGGGCCCGCGCCCGTGAGATCAGCGGGGGTGGAGTGCTGGCGCCCGTGAGCCGCTCCACGACCCCAACCGGGCTGTTCCCAACATGGGATACAACACACGGGGAAGGTGCTCTGTTCTGGGCGGGCAGATCCCGTGTGGCGGAGGACAGATGTGTCCTGTGGTTGCCCCCAGGCCACAGTGAACCCCCCCAACCCCCTCCCTGACTCCTGCCCACTTCCATGTCCCGATGTCTGTCTCCCACAGTGCAGACAAGGCCAGATCTCCCACAGGAGGGAGAGAGACCGTGAACACTCCAACACGAATCCTTTTTGCACACTTTGCCAGGTGGGGAATGGGGCGACTTTCTCAGGACAGCCTGCCAGTCTGAGTCCGGGACACCCATGCGTCCACCCCACACACTCCCCCTCCAGCCCAGGGGCATGTGGGAGCCATGCATGGTTTCGGAGGGAGCCACCTATGCACCGCCCCCCCTCCAGCTGGCCCAGCCGCTCCCCTCAAGAGGCGAGGAGGACACCCTGCAGCCCCCGCCCTGCCAGCCGGGTCAGTCCTGGGTCCTCGGGGGTCCCAGTCCCCAAGCAGAGTCTTGAAAACCATGTCCTTCCTTCCTGCCTTCCTTCCTTCCTTCTTTCTTCACCATGTTTTTGAATCAACACTGAAAATATTTCATCAACATATCAACTGATTGCAAAGGATGCTGTTTCTGGTGAATTCTAAGTATTGGTATCTTGAAATTTAACTCACATCATCTTCTTGAGCACATGCAGTGGAAGGTAGATGCCAAAGCAAGACCACCAATAACTACTTGCAAAACCCATGGCCAACTCGCAGTAAGCAGAAACTTCACCTTGTCCCTATTCTGCCTGGAAAGTCTATGTCCACTCTACTTCCCCAAAGCACTGCACGCAAATGTAATGCACTCCGATGTTCATAGCAGCAATGTCCACAACAGCCAAATTGTGGAAAGAGCCCAGATGTCCATCCACAGATGAGTGAATAAAGAAGATGTCGTTTATATCTATGATGGAATACTACTCAGCCATCCAAAAGAATGACATCGTACCATTTGCAATGATGTGGATGGAACGAGGGTATTATGCCGAGCGAAATAAGTCAATCAGATAAAGACAAATACCATATGATCTCACTCATAGGTGTAATTTAAGAAACAAGACAGAGGATCATAGGGGAAGGGAAGGAAAAATAAAATAAGACATAATCAGAGAGGGAGACAAACCATAAGAGACACTGAAATCTAGGAAACAAACTGAGGGTTGCCAGAGGGGAGGTGGGTGGGGGATGGGTAACTGGGGGATGGGCATGAAGGAGGGCACGTGATGTGATGAGCCCTGGGTATCATATGCAACTGATGAGTCACTGACCTCTACCTCAGAAACTAATAAAAAAATAATAACTAATTAAAAAAAAAAGACTGGAAGTGCCCCATTGTGCTCTCTGCAACAAAAAATTCCAGAGTCAACGTGGACATTGATTTATTCAGAATTTCTTGTGGTCACAAGGCTCTAAACATTTAATAAGTTATTTCTGGATTGGGTTCTTTTTTTTTACAAAGATTAGTAGAAAGCTATCAAAATAACACATACATGATAAATGTTGGTAAATCAGTTTAGACACATAAAGGAAAACCTTCCTGCATCAGCGCTTGGTGCCATGGGTGCTGGTGACCGAGAGGAGCCCCCAGTGCCTGGTCAAGGGAGCCCCGACCGTGCAACCGCTCCTTGGCTTGGTGCCCTGGGAGTCCGGGAAGCGAGGGAAGCCTGGCAGCCTTCCCCACCCCCAGGCGCCTTCTCAGGCAGGTCAAGTTTCAGGAGAGCATCTGTGGAAGTCTGGAGTCTAGAGACCGAATCTCCAGGGAGTCGGGGTCCCCAGCGCCCAGTCTGCTTGGCCTGGTCAGCGGGGGCCCCCTCAGCTCATGCCCTCACTACTCGCCTGCCACCCGGGGGTCCAGGCGGCCCTGCGGGGAGGGATGCCCCCTCAGCTCAGCCCCATCCCCACACAAGGTGAGGGAGTGGGCCTCTCCAGGGTCCCCATCCCCTCGCCAGGGCCACAGGGCGGCACGTGCTGCGCACCAGTTACGGACACTGGAGTGGTGCTCCGAGGAGATGTTAGCTCTGCAAAGTGAGACAGAAGCTGGGCAGCTGAGAGCCCAGAGGCTGGAGCAGCCTGGCTCTGGATCCCGGCTTCACCTGTGCACTTGGCTGTGTGCCCTGCACAAGCTCCTGAATCTCTCTGGGCCTCCGCAGCCTCATCTGGAACACAGTCCACTTCCAAGGTAAAAACAGCAGCACAGAGAAGCATCATCTGAGCCCCGAGGTATGCGGGGCCCCATCAAGGCTGCAGCTGCACCGACATCACTCATCCCTGGAGGCCGAGGCCGTGGCCAGGCCTGAACCCTCCACTCCCAGCAGGACAGTGCAAACCCTCGGTGTCGTCTTGCACCACGGCGCACGCCCAGCAGGCGTACCCCGACTCGGGAAGAACAGCCCACCCGGGGCCTTGCTGTGGAGCGCCAGGATGGCCCAAGGGTACCCGCACTCTGGCGTCTGGCTGACTTCCTGATCTTTCCAAGGATCTGCCAGCATATCCTGGATCTAGAAGAATGTGCTGACGCACGTAGCGCCCCCCTGAGACCACGTGACTCAGCATCGCAGGCCCCGGGGCGCCCACGAAGCCCTTTCCAGCCACGCCTGTCCCCGCTGGTCACCCCTGCTCCTGGCCGGCCTGCAGCTCCCCCAAGCATGTCAGGTCAGAGTCAAAACCCGGACCTCCCCCTGCTCAAAATAAAAACTCCGGATAATCAGGACAATGATGACATTCTATCTTGCCTGTCGAGTTAGCCAACATGATTACAGGGGAGTGGAGCAGCTGTGGGTGACCCCGAGGGTTGGTCTCCCCCTTCCCTGTGGTCATTCACGAGAAACGCTCAGGAGTGCGGGCAGCGGTGGCGAGACGCTTTCTGGAATACCATTCGGCGCTGACTCTAAAGAACGTGAAAACCACTCCTACCCTTTGACCCATCAATCTCCTTTCTGGGACTTTATCCCCAGGAAAGGACCAGGAACACCCACAGAAGTTCTGCGGTTCGTTACACACCCTGGTACGTTCAGGCTGGGTTCAGAGTCGGGCAACCTGGGTTTGAATCCTCGCTCCCACTGCTTCCCCACTGTGTGACCTTGGGCAAGCCACGTCACCTCTCTGAACCTCCGAGTCCTCGTCTGTAAACTGGGGTCAAGCACACCCATATCTTGCATGGTTGTCTTAAGGAGTCAGTGAGATCGGGTGCAGAAGACCACGTGGCTCAGCGCCAGGCTGGAATGGATGTCGGCGTCCAACAGCTGAGGGACGGCCAAGTTCACTGTGGGCCTTGCACGCGAGGGACTTGAGGTTGAAGCCCTTACACGATGGGCTTGGGGGCTTGGGGGCGGTGAATTAGTCAGGACACAGAAGCAGGGATACAACATGACTTCCAGTTAAAGAGACTCACAGAGGACAGACGGGGAGGCTGCGTACCGAACCCGACAGGGGACCCCTCGGGTGGCCCCGGAGGGATGTGACCCACTCTCCCCCACGGTTCTCTGTGCTGGGGGGCCGAGGAGGGAGCAGCTAACATCAGAACACAAGGAAACCGCTGCAGGCAACCCCCGCGGCCTGATCGGGGCCAGCCGGCTGGGGGCTCATGGCCACGGCCAGCCAGGGCTCACCCAATCCCTGTCCCCTGGGACCCTCCTTCTGTACCAACAGCCTCCCGTTGCCAGAGTGTCTTCCTGCCTTCCCGTGGTCCACAGATCCTGGAGCGCCCTGCGTGGGTCAGGCTGTGCAGAAGGACACGTGCCCTGCGCAGGCGGACGAGGCCCACGTGCCTGAAGCTTTCCTTTGGTTCTAGAAGCCCTTGGTCGGTTTCTCATGAATGCCCCAGGAATGCCCCAAAGGAGAGAATGCAGGCATTTTGCACTGTTCCCTTGTTACCCCCAGGTGCCCAGAGTGGCTCTCCGGTGGCTCTTTATAGTCCCAGATGGATGTGTCCTTGCCGTACACCCTGTAGCTGCCACCAAGCTCCCGGCAGAGCTGGGGGCCTTACCTCCCCATCACACCCCCTTCCCTCCCTGCCTGGCTCGCTCCACAATCATGGTTCTGCTCAGTCCCATGGCTTCCCGGATCAGGAACGCACGCTTTCTAGGGTTCACAGGTGGATGTGGCCTCCCGTGCTCAGCATTTCAGACCGGGGCCATGTTTCCAGGGCATTACCAGCAGGGTACAGAAGACCCCAGTCAAAAAACCCTGTTTTAAAGGTACAGGACTTGGCCGCACATACACGGTCAAGAGGTTTTTCGAGGCAAATTTCAAGTTGTTTGTAAAAATGGCAACACTTTCATTTTTCTTGAGGACCTACTATGTGCCGGGTGTTTGACCCATTTCTATATTATTTTGCAGCATAAGAATAGAGCCGGCCGGATTTCAAATCCCAGCCAGAATCACATGGCCTCCCAGGGTGGACACCATGGGCTCTGGCCCCCGAGCCCTTCCCCGCACACCAGCTGCGCCCCCGCACAGCACTGCAGAGCCCTCCTCTGTCCGTCCTCCCTGGACACCAGAGCCAAGGACCTCACAAGGAACCTGTCCCCATCGCTCATTCTGCTCCGGCCTGTCCCCGGGTCCACCAGGCACACACCCTGCTTTCCTGTCTTTGTCCCAGATGCTTGCTCAGGCTGCAAGGCTCTTCCCAAATATCCCTCAAGTCTTCACTCAGGTCACCTCCTCTGTGAGGCCCACCCTGATTACCTGGTTGAAAATAGCAACTCCTCCCGAACTCACATGCCTGCCTTTCCCGAGCCCCTCTTCCACCTTTCCTGTTCGGCACTTAAATAAAATGTACGTATCCTATCCAGTGTTTATGGTCTGTCCCCCACACTAGAACATGATCTCCACAAGGACAAGCATATCCATTTTGTTCACGGATGCATCTCAAGCACCCAGAACACTGCCTGCACATAGTAGGTGCCCAAGAAATCATGGTTGCATGAACCCCGAGGTTAGGAAACGTGTCTAAGACCCACATTCACAATGGGGTGGCAGGGGTGGGATTTGCGCCCAAACCTCCAGGCATCAAAGCCCAAGACTGGAGCATCCATGAGGGAGAGTATAATTACATGATCATTTCATGCAAACTGAGGTACATCCAACAAGTGCCAGGGTGGCAAGAACCCCTCACACTGGGGCCTCTGGTGAGAATCTGTGCGAACAGACCCTGCTTTGGTTCACCTGGCAGCATGCCCACCCAGGGACAGACGTGACTGGTCTCAGTGAGTCACCACCCTCCTTTCTGGTCCACTGTGCCCACGTGGGTGGGCCTGGGACCCAGTTCTAGCCAACAAATCAGATTTGAAGTCTTTGGGGGGGGACCTGGGGGAAAGGGTTCTCCCTGGTCAAAGGGAGAATCGTGTGAGGAGGGAGCCCTTTGCCTGTGCACAGCCCACCACCCCCGAATCCCTTCCCAGGTTGGATGCTACCTTGTGAGGATGTGATGTTTGGAGCTACAGCAGTCACCTTGAGACCATGAGGAGAGGTACTGCTACCATGCACAGGATGAGGGAGGGGCAGAGGGGGCCGTGGGGGTGGGGAAGTAGAAAAAGAACCTGGGTCTTTAACGACCTTGTTGAGCTGTTAAGTTAACCAACTCTGGGGAGTAAAGGGGCCACCTCCAGGCTTTAGGTTAAGACAATAAATATCCATGTTGTTTAAGACACTATGAGTTAGGTATTCATTTTGATTCACCCAAAAGTACCCTCGATGATTCACAGGCTTTGCATTTTCATGAGAACCTGGATAAAAGACCAGTCTGAGACTGTGGGATCTTCATACTTAAAGAGACACAGCTTTTTCCAGCTAGCGGGCAGTCTTGGCTATACCCCACCTGGTTCCTCAGCAGGTGAAGCAGAGATGCCCCACCCCCCAAGGGCAGGGGCCTCACTGATCTGCATGGCCGTGGGCACAGCTGCCTGGCACGGGGTGAGGCTCTGTAACTGGCTGTGGGTGTGGGCTGTGGCCTTGGAACGGGGCCCGCGTGCCCACAGGTCCTGCCACCGAAGCCACTACTGCAGGAGCCGCGGGGGGGGGGGGGGTAGCCGCAGTCACACAGGGCCAGTCCCAGGAGCTGCCTGCTGCCCACCGCCTGCCACGAGGAAGGGGCCACAGCTACTCTCACATCTGCTCAGGAGCTAGCTCGGAGGACAAAGTCATCTGGCCCAGGTGACACTGCAGGGGGGTGCTCCTGGGGCAGTCCCCACCTCCCCCCAAATCCTGTGGGTCAAACCAGGACTCGATTCTGGAGTCTCATGCCTTCTATTGGGTTCCTAAGCTCTGTGCTTACAGACAATCCTTTTAAACACGGTGGCCGCTTCCCCAGTGTCTTTAAAAATAACCTTTTAAAAGAGCATTTTAATGGATTTTGCTTTTCAGACACAGCAAATTTGTCTTTTGGAGAGTAGAGAAAATTAAACCAGATAAATCCCACAGTGGTCTGGGAAGCTCTGATGAAAAGGAAGAGATGCTTCAGGCGGGGTGAGGGCACTGACCACAGTGGGGGGGCACTGACCACAGCAGGGGTGGGTCACTGACCACGGGGGAGGCACTAACTACGGCGGGGGTGAGGCACTGACCATGGCGGGGGGGCAGCATCATGGGCAAAGGCAGTGTTTACAGGATACTAAAGGCTTGTTATTCTCACACCCCCACCTGGGGCTGCTCCATCCATTCCCAGAAAACAGGCACCTCCAGGCTATGCCCCTCTGAGGAGCAGGGTCAGTGTCACCCTCAGACTGAGGGTCCCGGGGCACTCCCACCCCTGCCAGAAACGGTGCCACCCCAGAGGTCCCTGGGTCTCCCCTGGGTCACTGTCCCCCGCAGGGCCCCCATGTCTCCCATGGCACTCTGCCCCCCTCCAGGGCCAGGGGGCTTCAGGGCCACTTCTGGGGTGTCCCCTGTCACAGCAGAAGAATCCAGGCCAGTGGTTCTCAAGTTTTCTTTCCAAACAACAGGACTGGACACGCAGTCTTCACAGAGGGCCCGAGGCCATGGCGTGGCGATGGACAAAGCTCCTCCGGGGTGGGGGGGCTCACCTGCGGCCTCGCACCCCCACGCCCAGGAGGTGCTTCCTGAAAATCTCCAAGGGACTCAGCCGGGGCCACACCCAGGCCTGGAATCCAGCCGGGGTCATGCTCCCTGTCCCCAGACCCCAGCTACCCCCTCAGCTAGCTGCTGGCACGGGGAGGAGGCTGGGCCCCCAGCCTTGCCCCTCCCCCTCTCGCCCGGCACACTCCACGGTCAAACCACAGACGTGGGTCCACACGGCACGCACCTGCCCCTGCCCCCTGGACCGGCCCAGCACCCCCTCTGACCGCGCGATTCGTCCTTACTCCAAGTTAGAGCCCAAACGCCACCTCCCCCAGCAGCCCTCTCGGGAAGCTTCTGGATCCTTCCGTGCTCCCCGCCCCGCCCCCGCCCCCCCCCCCCCAGCAAGGGCAAAGACCAGAGACCAGGGATGCTCACCTTTGCAGACGAAGCACTTGATGTGGAAGTACTTGTTCTGGACCCTTAGCACCTCCCCCTTGCACACATTCCCGCAGGTGTTACACAGGATCGCGGTGCTGGGCGGCTTCTCCAGGGGGCTGTGGGCGGCCTGGGGCTCCGACACTGCCAGGGAGGGAACAATGAGCCATGTTAAAGGTAGGACACACGCCAGGCCCAGTGGAGCAAAGCAGCAGCGGCGTGAGGCCTTGGGGGCCCCTGCCCCAGCTCAAGCCCCATTGGGTGTCAGGGGACAGACGCATCTTCTTTCCTGGGGGACCCGAGGGGACTGGATAATGTGAGAGGCCATCTGGCCAACCCCCAGTGAGGGGGCTCCTCTCTATGGCAGCCCCACCCAGTGGGCCACCTGTCCCCCATCCAGGTGGGCACCCCTTTAGTGGTGAGAGATCACAACCCCTCCCAACAGGCAGCCTATTCTCTTGTTGCCTTGACCTGGCAGGTCCTCGGCCAGCAGGGCCTCTGAAGCAAGGTCCCCCACCATAAGCTTGGCAGCCCTTTTGCAGCCAGGAGACCCAGAGTCCTCTCCTCTGCAAGTACAATAACCACGGTCCTCCTTTGAGCTTGCTTCAGATTCCCTCTGCGTCCTGGGGCCATTGACCTGAATATTGTTGCTGTCCTCCTTAAAGCCAGCCATGGCCTGGGATGTTTATGGAAGCACTGGGAACCCACTGAGGGCTGGCCAGGGCAGGGTGGACGGTGAAAAGGCCCAGCTGTGGGGCTCTTGGGGTCTGGGCAGGGCCATACGCTCCTCAACCACGTCCTCCAAAAGCACCTATGGAGGCCAGAACGCAGGATGCTGTGGCCCATGGTGGGGCTGCCCCTTTGAGGAGCTCCAGTCGGGCAGTGGAGACACCCCAGGGGAGGCCCAGGGGCTGGGGGCCAGCAGAGTCACTTGAAGCACGAGGAGGAGCTGGCTGGATGGCGGAGTTGGAGGCTGGCGCAGAGGCCTGCTGGGCAGAGAGCATGGCCCAGGCAGGCACCCGAACAGGCTGGAGCCTTCCGACTCAGGACCGACCAGAGAAAGCCAAACCCGCTCCCTCACCAGCCACGTGGGACGCCCCCTTCCAGCCTCCCCAGGCCCCCAGTCCCCGTCGGGCTCACCCAAGAGCCCCCTTTCCTCCTCTGGGAAGCTCTCCCCTGCTCTGCCTGCCTCTGGGTCTCTGCCAAGTGCGGGTAGCCGACCCCCGGCTCCAGCCAGCATTGAGTAGACCGCTTTGCTTTTCTTGTGGGGTGGGGAGTGTCTTTTCTCATTTCCACATCTTCTAATGCCACCCTCCTTTTTTGGTCTGGGGCCCTGCCTGATGCTGAGACAAGGACGGGCTGCAGGTGTGTATCTGGGACCAGCAGGTGGCAGGAAGGAGTGAGGGGGCCCTGAGGCAGGAAGTCTGCAGGGTGCAGGTGAGTCCACCTGGCTGCAGCTGAAACCCCAGGTGGGCCCGGGGGTGTGGGCTGGCTGAGGAAGCACCAGCCACGCTTTGTTGGGGCGGTCAAGCTATTTGTATGTACACACACACACACACACACACACACCCCATTTACACAATTGTCTAACACTAGCTTTGAGCAAGCACCAGACCTCAAGGTCTCCTCATTCCTGTCGTAAACATCAAGGAGGTCCCTCCAGACAGAGGAGGACATTTCTCCACCCAATTTCCCACCTGTCCCCCGCCCCCCAGCACCCCGCGCCCCAGCAGCCCCTGATCTGCCAGAGCCAGGCTCCTCTCTGCTGCGGTCCCTGCCCGAGGTGCAGAGTTTGAGAGCAAGCGGCACAAAGTGGGGGCTGGGCCATGTTGGGGACAGCGAGCTGTCCGAGGAGGAGGCTGTGAACACCCCAAGGGTATCAGGGTTCCAGCTGCCTGGGAATGAGAAGGTGCAGGAAAGGAGGTGAGCAGCTTGAAAAGTAATTCGGCATCACTCCGGGTACCCCAGACCCAGAGTCAACGCCTGCCTCGCGTTTCCAGAGGAGTCAGGATCCAAACAGCAGACTGGAGGGTGCAGGGCTGGGCGGGGGACCCCGTGAGGTCCGTCTGCCCTCCTACGGCCATGGTGACATTCCCCACTCCAGCTTAAATGCCAACAGCAGGCTTGCCCTTCGCTTCTTTTTCCTGTAGAAAAAGTGCAGAAATTGCCTTATCTATTACTTAATAAAATTGGTGGAAGGCGGCATTTCCTTGGGCTTGAATTTAAGACTCCCTTGGCGGAATGAGCCACTGGAATCCAGATTTAAAACCTGTGAACAGCCCGGGGCCCGGCGGGCTCCTGAGTCACCCTGTCCACCTCTGAGGCTCAGTGGAGACTGTGGGGGGTGGGGGGTGGGACACATCCTCCACACTGTTATCTTCTCAGTTGTCAGGCAGACAAAGAACAATAGCCTATCATCTGTCCACAAGCAGACAAGCAAGTTTTTATACTACTAGAATCTGGCTCAAGTCCAATATGAGGGAAGGTCAAACCAGCCCCCCCTGGGGGTCACTGTGAGCCCTGGGGGAGCACAGGATACAGGGGCAGACAGCCTGGGTGCAGCCCCAGCTTCACCCCCTGCGTGCCGTGACCTGGAATGCCCAGCGTTCCGTGTGTCTGTCCATCTACGCATCTGCCCTCTGCTCACATCACCTGCCTTGGGGGTGGGGTGGGGGGGCTTGCTAAGATGATGGGCTCAATACACAATAGCTATTGTCATTTGCAAAAACACAGAGCCTGACACCGCCAGTTTCCTGGCTACTGGAGATCTATCTGGTCTGGGGCGGGGGAGAGCTGCTTTAAGATAGGTTTTGCTGGGGGGCCCCAACTCTGCCCACCTGGAGCATCCTCTAAAGCCTCCTGGGGCGGCTCGTCGTGAGAACAGTGGTGCTGCCCTCTGGTGGCGGGAAGCAGACACTGCGCGGTGGGGACGGGCGGGCCTTCTGCGCAGGTGTCAGCCTGGCCGGGGGCTCCCATCCGTGAATCCTGCGCGTTTGTGGCGGGAGCATCTAACCTCCCAAGGTGAGCTCGTTCCTTGCACCCTCACAGCGGCCCAGTTGCAAGAAATCCCTGCATGTGGACTCTGATGGGGTGTTTCTCCTCCGGGTGCTGTTGTCCCTGCTGCTGAGGGAGCTGAGGCCGGGCAAGGAGGCTCAGGATCCGCAGGGGGCCACACCCGGGGTTTTCCCCAGGCGGCCCCAGGACAAGGACCGGCTGTTCCTGCCAGCCCTGGTGTCTGGTGCGTGGGTCTCACGTAAAAAAGGATAATTATCCAGAAACCAGATATCAAGCCACAAAACAACATGGAAGACACCCAGATGCATATAACTGAGGGAAACAAGCCAGTCTGCAGAGGCTGTGTGCTGTGTGAGTCCATCTACAGGGCATTCTGGAAAAGGCAGACCCATGGAAACAGTAAAAACAATTAGCAGTTGCCGGGGCTTGGGGGGAGGGAGGGATGAGCAGGTGGAGCCTGGGGCTGCTTAGAGAAGCCGCTCGGGTGGGACACTGTGATGTGAACACACTCTGTCCGAACCCACAGGAGGCTCAGCCCTCTGGAGGGAACCCTGATGGAAACCTCAGTTCATTACAATGTATCAAAATGGGCTCATCACCTGCAACAAACGCACATATTATAGGGGAAAGTTTGCGGGAACTCCACTTTCTGCTCAGTTTTGCTGCAAACCGAAAACCACTCTAAGAACTCAAGTGTGTGAAAAACGTTAAAGGAAAGAGAAACAGAGATCGAGAGCTACGACACCCAGAGGCCCAACCACAAATGCAACAGGCTCATTTGGCTACAATTGCAAGATGGGCTCCAACCTTTGGTTTCACGAGTCCCCAGCTGTGATAATAACTTAAAACATAAAGTCAAGTGGTGAGAATCGATCACGCGAGGCTGTGACCATTTGATCGCCCTGGGATAAGGAAATCCCAGCACTGGGGAGCCTCGCCAGGAACAGGAATTATTCCCGGGACCATCAACCTGATCGAGGGCCGGCCCCGCAGTCCCCGGCGATGCCCTGGAGTCCCTCCAGGCTGTGCCCCTGCTCTCTCTCCAGGAGACAGGAGCTGCATGCTGCTGGGCCCGGGACAGGAGCCAACAGGGCTGGGTGTGGGCCCTCATCCCCATCCGGGGGCAGCTGTGTGGCCTTGGAGAGCTGACCAAACCCCGAGAAGCCTCAGGTTTCACATCTATGAGCTAGAGCTTGGTCTCATGAGGCATTTTGTGAGACTCCATTAAAGTAGAAAAAAAAAACAAACAAACCAGTGCCATGCCTGACAAGTATCGCGGACCCCAGCTGCAGGCCTGGTTGTCCCCAGGCCCTCAGATCTCAGGGTCACCCCGCACCTGGGGATGGGGATGGGAGGAGGCTATCAGGAAGGAGACCAGGAGCCTCCCAGGGGGGTCGTGCCTTTGCTTACTTGCCCACCTCGTCGGTAGATTGTCCTAGATTTGCCTCCACGCTTTGGCCACCTTGTGACGTGGCAGGGCAGGCGACAGGGAGGGGCGGGACACACGTCCTGATCCCAGCTGTGCCCCTCCCTTGGGCAGGTCACATGCCCTCTGGAGCCTGTTCCCTCCTCTATGAAATGGGGACAAGTATTCCCAAATGTGGGACCCTCGTGCTGATCAGACCAGATGATGTGTGTGTAGCCAGCGACCCAGCTGAGCACCTGCTGTGTGTGCGGGCACAGGAGGCAGTGACTATGATGGGGGGCCACGGATGGTGGCCTTAGCGACCTCCAGCAGGTAGGGCTCCTAACATCGGCCTCTGCTCCCAGTGCCTTGCCCAGCGGTGCCCAGGGCTGATGCGGTGGGCGGGGCCAACCCAGACCAGTGCCGGGCCTTGCTGGCCCTTGGCCTGGGGACAGGGACTGTGGCTGAACCCCACCAACGCCACTTCTAATGTCAGTGCCACGCTCGGCTCCCTCGCCCGTGTGGCTGGCGGGCGGGCCTCCTGGGCACCGGGCAAATGGGCCTCTTTACCCTGATGAGCGGGGAACACGCCTCTGGCCTCTTCACCCAGCAAATCCTCCCATTTTCCTCTTCGCTCTGTCGGCTCAGGCCTGACGGGGGCCACCTCCCACTTTGTTCATAGAAACTCACCAACCTGACGTCACTCTAGATGCCGTAGCCGAAT